TTGCTAAGGGTTGAAATTTTAAAACCACATGATTGTCTTAATGTCACTTTGCCATGACAATTTTAATTTTTCTACTAATCATTATCCATTGCTTGAGGACAAGTAATAACTTAAGTTTGGGGGTGTGATAACTCCATAAAAAGACTCTATTTGTAGTCTTTTTATTTAAGTTATTGCTTGTTTAAACAATGTTGTCATAGCATATTAAGTTGCATTTAGGTTATAATTGCATGTAGTGGATAAGTTTTGCATAGGCAAGTTTTATTTGGTTTGACTGATGTTGCTGAGGAGAAATGGCCTTTATAGATTGTATGTGTGCAGGAATTTACTTAGGAAGAGCATTTCAATCTTGACAATATATTTCACAAGGGCCAGTGGAACACAGAAGACAAAGACAATGAGGACCATATTTATCTTGCCAAGGCAAGATTTATCTTGCAAGTCTGAAGCGGTTTTGACGAATTGCTTCTGTCACCTGTCAGCTGTACGACTAACCTCACGTGCAATCAAGCCCCCAAGATTCTGAAAATATCCAACTGTCTTTCCATCTATAGCTTGGACAAGTTAACACGGGTATTTAGGGAATATTTAATTATGCAAAACCCTTGGAAAATTCCCTTAATAAATACCCAGTCACAACCACCAAAAAGGGAGGCAAGGAAGAAGAAAACTTACCTGAGGTGTGGAGTAAGCAGCTGCAGTACCTTACCTTCCACCGTTATCCAACCCAACGTTCTTTGTGTCCTCTAAAACCAGGCTATAGTAGAGTGGCGATCAGGCCTCGAGAGAGGCTGACCACCAGAGCAGACACGGTGCTGGTTAGAGTTGTCACGACAAAGCCCCCTATTTGGGAGTCATTCTTCCTTTGTTCTTAATTTCTTTAATTTGTTATGGGGTTTGTATTAAACGATGATACTCTTGGATGACTCTTTGACAAACACCATGAATGTTGGTTTTTATTTTGCTGAGACAATTATTTTATGGTTTATAAATGATGCATTATGATTTTGCTTATGTTTGTTTTGTCCATTGTTTTAATATTTTTCCTTGACACTGTAAAAGCTTTCGAGAGATTGCCTGGTGCCTAGGTGAAACACTTTTGGACATTGTAAGAGCTTTCGAGAGATTATCATTTTTCTATAAATTGATTCTTATATTCGAGAGAACTAAGATCTACGTGAACAACGGAATGGATCCATGATGGTGATGTTCTAACCTGCCTACCTTAGAGATAAGGAGAGAGTTTCAATCGACTAAAAGGGATAGATGCTTGAGTAGGATAGACAACGATTATAGTTCACGTTGAGGGGTATTGCTACAACAACATTCTGACAAACCAATGGTTGTAGTTAACGCTAAGTAGTATTGTCATAGCAACTTACAATACTCAATAATCATATCGGGCAGCCTAAGCATATCATAACAAATCCTTCCAGACTTGGAATAATTTCTTGTCATAGCAAAAGACTAACCTGAGTGCTATGTGAAAAGTCTGAATATGTGAGGTTATTTAGAATATATTTGAATCAACGCTTTTCTCTACCTTGTTTATTTTTAATTGTTACTTTTGCATATTTTCTTTTGCCTCGACCAAACTTTTCTACAACCATACTTCATAATATTCTCTTGTTTTAGTAACTCTTTAACACATTTTCGTATAATCTATTGCTAATTGTTTTTCTATTTTGACAATAATTCAGGAACTAGCTCGTGATACCTAGTTTTAGTTGAGGTGAAAAATCAAAATCCCTACAAATCCCTAAGGAGATGATAACTCGCTTACCCTTTATTACTTGATTTAACTGTGTACACTTGCACAGATTTGCTTACCTTAGCATATACATTTACAAGCAATCAATATCAGTTAGCTTTACCTCCAGATATGGACAAGATTCACAATGTTTTTCACGTGTCGATGCTCAAAAGGAACCGATCAGACTCATCCCATGTCATCACACCCAAAAAAATAAAGATCTGACCAGATTTAACTTACGAAGAAGAACTAGTGCGGATCTTGGCTAGAGAAACCAAGAAACTACGTAACAAGAAGATTCCTTTAGTGAAAGTGCTCTCGCAAAATCATAAGGTGGAAAAAGCTACTTGGGAAAGAGAGGAGGACATGAGGAAACAGTTTCTACACCTCTTCATATCAGGTATTTCTTTAAATTCGAGGATGAATTTTCTTAAGGGGGAGAATTGTAATACCCCAAATATCAGTCAGTGACTTTATTGAAAAGATTCCTGATTTGGAGGATTAATTTGAATAAATGGTAGAGGAAAAGAAATGATTTAGAAATAGTGCTTAAGACCAATTAGTAAGAATGGAAGAATGAAAGGGAATTTTGGTCCTTTAAAAGGGAAATGGATTTTAGAGATATTTTAATTAGGGTATTTATAAGGGAAAAAGGGGGAAAGTTGAAAAACAAGCTAGTTATCTTCTCTTCTCCCTCTTCACGTGTTCACGTGCCCTCTTCTATAGCCAAAGGTAAGGCTTCAATTAGCTAGTTTTTCCTCTCTTTTCTGGTTTGTTATTGCAACCTTAAGTGATGTGTAAGCTTAAGGAAGGGTTAAAGAGGATTAAAAATAATAAATGCATTACTTATTTGAGATTGAAGAAAATGGGTTTTTGAGTTATTTGTTGAAATATGAGTTTATATTGATGTTTACAAGTATATTTGACTTGTCAAAGAAGCAAATAAGAGATTAGAAACCTTGGAAGTGATTATAAACATGTATGAAAAAGTAGTTTGATTTTTAGTTTGGGATGTTCTTTGGAGATTTTAGATGTTATAAGAAACCAAATGAAGGAAATTTAGTTGGGATAAGTAAAGAAGAGTTTAATAGTATTGTTGGAGGTAAAAGAAAGGGAATTTGATAAAATTTGGGTAAAATAAAGCTGAAAAATGGAAAATCTGGGTTAGGGTATCGGTATTGGAAGAACAGTACTTGTACTATAGGTTTAAATTTGAAGAATTACGTAGAACAATATTGATACTGATGCAATTAGTATCGATACTGATGTGGGTATCGATACTAAGAGAAAGGTATCAGTACCATGGATTCCTGAATGTAGAAATGGTATCGATACTGAAAGGGAGTATTAGTACCATAGTATAGAAGTATCGATACCATGGTAGGGGTACCGATACTATTGAGCCTGGAATTATAAGATAGACTGAATTTGTAATAGAAATTAAAAATAATAGTACTTTTTGAGTATTATTAAAGTATAAATGTTAGGGAATATACTAACATTGGTATGGTATCTGTCTTTAATGGATGCTTGTATAGATCATAACCAAGCTCCTGAGTCTAACAAGAAAAAGGACAAAGATAAAGGTGTCGAATAGCCGGACATCATTACATCTTATTAGCGAGGCTTATCAGGTGAGTGCAATTTTTATACTTCTATGAAATGAGGGAGACTTGCGACTAGTCGACCTTGAACATTTTGATAAATCATATTTTACAGTACATTGATATGTTTTCATAATGTGTATGGGAATGAGATTATGAATAAGTGTTAGAGTATGAATTGCTCTAACACGAATAGATGAATGATGATATTGTTCAATGGTTATCAATATCGAAGAAATAAATGTTCAAATCTATGAATTTAACTGAAAACTCCTACAAATTCCCCCCCTCATGCTCCTTTTCTCCCATTTCCTCCCTCCCTCCCTCCCAGAATGAATAGTAGTATCGGGATTTAATCCCGACATAAAATCCACCCAAATATGTTTCGTACTTATTGAGATTTGTGACCAAAAAGATTTAGTCTCGAACTAATGAGAGGTGAGTGGTCGGTAGTGTTTTTGTCAATTGATGGTAACAAAGAATGACGGTCGACGTAAATATAAGAATTTAAATTAAGGTTTTTAAAGTTTGAGTTTTTAATTTAAGAAAATTTTGGGAGTTTTTAAAATTGATATTTTTATTTTTTTAAATAAAACTTTTAAAATTATATAAATACGATACATTTCACTTAATAAAATTTTTAATGATCGTTATAATTGATATATTTAAAATAATAATATTTATAATGTAGAAACAGTTGAAGCATCTCATTTTATATTAAGTCATTTTTTATGTACCAAATTAAAGTCCATTTTGTACTTTAAAAGAGTGGGGACAGTGCCCAAACACTGTTAGGTTTTGTAACTTTGCTTGACATGCAAGGATTTCACGATGCAAATTCTGTTGCTTAATTACGCTAAAAGCGCAAAACTTACTTTAGTTTGACCTTCTACTTGCTTGCTTATGCCTCAATTCAAACAATGAGTCCATCCATTACCCCCTACTTTCTCATCCAGACACTTAGATCTCGTTTTTCCCACTATTAACTTCATCAGTTTAACGAAACAAGCAATGGGTTCTTCTTTAGTTGGTGTAAGCTCTAAGATTCTCCATCTTCTTTCGCTAAAAGAACCTTCTTTTTTATCTACTGCTTATTTTCTGGGTTTCGATGGAAAACAAGTCCGGCAAAAGAAAGGCAAAGGAGAATAACATGGGTTTTCAAGGTTATGGCTTGAGGGATAACCCTAAGAAATCTTGGAAGTTTTTGGGGTCTAATGGTGATGATGATAATTCCACCACTTGCTCGACCCTTGATGAGTTGCAGTGCAAAGCTTACGGCTAACAATTTGAGTCGATGAAAGCTTTGTTTGGTCATGTGAGGCATCATTCTGCAAAAGAAAGGAAAGAAGTTAATTGTCAAGAATGTGGCAGAAAGTTCAAGTCTTTGAGGGCTCTCACTAGCCATATGAGATTGCACCATTTGAAGATCATAACAGTGAGGAGAAAGAGATCGAAAAGATTGAGGTACGATAATAATGGTCCAAATGACTATTGTGGTTTTCCTCAAACTGATCAAGATGTTGAAGTTGCAGCTTTGTGTTTGATGATGTTGTCTAGGGGTGTAAAGAATTCGACCCTATTCAATTGCTTTTTGGAGTCTTGTGATAATAACGAGTCCGAGATCAAATCTTTTGATCCAAACAATGAAATTTTGCGGTCTCGATCCATACGATTCTGAGATTTTGTCTGAAAAGGGAAAGAATGATGAATCTGGATTCGAATTGTGTGGAACTGAGATCAAGGGAAGAATTTCCAATGAAGTTATGAACTTGGGGTCTGTTAAAGTAGAACCAGGGAAGGATTTCATGGAAGGATTGGAATTAAGTGGTTTAGGATCCACAAAATCTACTTCTTGCAACGATGCTGTGATCGATGCTTGCGATTCGAGACCGGGAGGGGATGCTTCGAACAAGTTAATAAGTACTCCACTGAATTCTGAGAGGTCTGACGATTCCCAGAACAAGAACAAATACAAGTGCAGGATCTGCAGCAAGACTTTAAAGTCTCACCAGGCACTTGGGGGCCATCAAACAATCCACAGAAAGAGTAATATGTGCGGCGTAGAGCAGGTCGAGGATCGCACGAAAACTACCCACATTAGCAGTTTTCCTGACATTGATGATAGTTGCAAGCTTGTGAAGGTTGAATATGTAGAGAATTCAGTGGACCAGGAAAAGAATGAGATGACTAGTTCTGAAACAGGGGTGCATAAGGTGCACAAACGCCTAATCGGCTTAAAGGTTTTCGGATCCGGGCAAGCTTTGGGTGGTCACAAGAGGTCTCACATGTCGAAAGACCCTGGAACCAGCGATAAACAGCCTGCAGAGCAGCTAGACCTTTCCGACATCTCTTCTGATGTTATTGATCTTAATCTCCCTGTTATGCACAATAAAGAGGTTAATGGTAACATGGGATTCAAGTCGTGCCGGCTCGGAACTGACTGCAAGAGTGAGGCTCTACTGAGCCTAGCTGCTAACTGATGAAAGGTGATGCCGAAACTGTTACCATTGGCTTTTCTTCTGGTTTCCAGTCGTAACTCACTTCCTTCAACTGATACTTGGCATGGCAAAGTTCCATTGATTCAATTTGTTTTCATAGCATCAACATTGCTCTCTATATATTCATTCTTTTGTTTCTTACTTTTGAAGAATAAAAGAAAATGAGATGATTTTAGATATGTTCTTTTTGTGTTGTTTGAATTGTAAAGAAGTGTAGCAAATCTCAGTAGCCTGATGAATGTACAAAATACGAAATGAAAGCAATTTCACTGGTTACAGATTATGTTCTTTTTGTGTTCTTTGAAGCTTTATTTATTGGGTTTGAAGGGATCCACATTGCAGAATATGTGATAAAAAGGTAAAAATTCAGAGATTTTTTTCCCTTCTATAATTAGGCAAGAGTATTAATTGACATGGAATAAAGCTTGCGAAAAAATGAGACCAGTAAAGAATGACAAATCAGTTCATCTAAAAATTAAACAAACAATCCGTTGAGTTAACAAAATCAGTCAACCCCAAACCTTCTAAAGGGATTACAAACATATCAGTGCAATCTTTCATCAATCTGAACTAAAAATTACAGTAGGAACGGTAAGAACCAACAAAAATCTAATCCTGTGATGACCGGAGTTTCAGGACCTCTCTCTTGTCTCTCCCCATGCACCGCACCTCGAGTTCCGCCTATGCTTGTGCTGCAAAAAATTGTCTACAGTACAAGGTAGGCCCTTGATTCGAACTCGGGGAGATTACCTGAAACTGGTCATTACTGTTTCCGCCTATGAGACAATTTGGAGGGTACCCTTTCTCCTCTTCATCAGATCCGCTTTGGATTCCATCTTGACTGGCAATGGGGCAGAAAACACAAAATCTCCATCTTGAATCTCATAATCATAAGAAGCTTCTTTATTATTCAATTTCATTTCCTTCCCATTTTCTTCAATAACAAGATTCTCCATTATCCCTCCATGATCATCACTTGAAACACTCTCATCAGCTAGGTTTCCGTCTCCACTTTGGATTATTCTATAAATATTCCCATTCTCAGCAAAGCTCACAGTTTTCTTCACTCTTGGTTGAATTCCTTGCCTTTTCACCAAAACTCCACCATTTCTATTTTCAGCAACGGAGAGCCTAGGACTCTGACTTTCACCTAAAGCTTGATGAAACCCTTCAAGCTCCACGTCACCATCTTCATAGTCTCCCTCTTCGTTTATAGAAAGCCTCTCAAGATTTTCAACTCTGTCTCTCATTTTCTCCATTGCTCCTCTAGAATTTGAGCTAAAAATCCTAGCTTTATTACCATTGCCACAAACCCTCACATTATTTGCATTCTTAAACAAATGCTTATTCCTTTCTAAGCCTAACCCATGAATATATTCTAAAAATTGACGCAAATCTCTTCTAACTGACCTTCTTCCATCTCTAATCATCGGATCACCACCCTACAAACAGAAAACTTAAAATCTAATAAAAATAAAGAGCAACCATGATTTTAACAAGTACCCAATGAAGAATTACCTTGAGAGAGTCAAGTTTGTGAAGCAAGTCCATGGCTTTTCGAGAAACAGCTGCATTATCAAAATGGGTTTTATTGTAAACTGAGGGCGTCAGAGAATCGAGACTTGATTTGACAAAGGCGAGATCTTTGAGCTTCCTAAGTGTTCTTGATCTATGAACAAGGAAAGCTCTGAAATGGGTTTGGATGACACGTGCAGCTGCATCTTTAAGAGAGAGAGAAGGGTGAGAAGAAGAATTTGAAGCTCTGGAGAAGTGCTGCAGTGATGATTCGAGAGCATTGATGCGGTTGACAAGTGAAAATAGAACGATGTCGAGTTCTTCTTGGTGGTGGTGTCTCCGATCAAAGTGTTGGTTTTTAGTAGCAAAGTTCTGATCTTGGAATGATTTGAGACCATGGGTTTGGCTTGGATAATGATTTTGTTGGGGTTGGACTTGGAGGAGGAGAGAGGCAAAGGCTTGTAGGAGAGGGTCAGATTGTTGTGGTGGTGGTGGTCGTGGCTGGCTGCAGAAGCAGGCGTAGCAGCTGGTGGCGGTGTGATGGTGGTAAGACGCCATGACTTTTTCAGGGTTTTGAAAATGGTCTGTGGGGCTTGGGGGCAACAGTTAAAAAAAGCTAGCAAAACATTGGTGTCGGAGTTATCGCGAAGTCTAACGTTCGAGAGTCTAATATGTTAAAAAAATATGTTACTGATTTTATTATTTTTGTTAATAAAATTAGTAAAAAATTTATAAAAATATTATTATTTCTATCAGTTTTATTATTATTGATGTTTTATCAGATTTGATAATATATTTAATAGAAAAAATAATATTTTAAGTAGTACTTTATTAAATATATTATTAATCTTAGTAAAACGCCTAATAATAAAATCAATAAAAATAATAATATTTTAATTAATTTTTATCGATTTTATTAAAAAAATAATAACAAACCGATAATAATTTTTTTTCTTAACCGTGTATTAAAATTACCATACTATATAACTCCCCGGTTGGATTGGATTGGACTAGTGGAGTTTTGTTTTCTTTACTTCCTTTAACTCTTTCTATTACCCTTTTCTTTTAAAAAAAAAACTTTTTTAAAGTTAATTTCACATAGTTCTCAAACTATAATTTATATTTAAATTAATTTTTAAATATTTAAATTTTATTTTAAAACTACCAGATATATTAGAGTAAATTACAAGTTAATATTCCAACTATCACTTTTGTTCTATTTTAGTTACCTAACTATTATTTTCTCAAAATCATACTTAATATTATGTTTTGATTTTATTTTAGTCACATTCTGTTAAAAAAAGTAACAAAACTGTTGACATAATATGTTTTTTTCAAAAAAAATCAATGATAACATTACTTTATGATAACACGTCGGTATCATTATTAATTTTTTAACTGTGAGTGACCAAAAATATAACATTAGATATGATATTAAAACAAAAAAAAAATAATTAGATGACTAAAATTGAACAAAAGTAATAGTCAAAATACTAAACATGTAGTTTACCCTATTTATTAATCATTTATTAATAAAATCATTAAAAATTATTAATTATCGTAAAAAAATATTAATGTGCATTATGCAATAGTACGATACAATATAAATTATAATTAATATTATATCATATCCCTAAAAATTATTGTTTAGAATAAAATTAAATGGTTCTTTGATTTTTAATTTTATTTTTTAAATGTGTTTGTCATTCTTTTTATGTTTTAAAGTTAAATTATTGTTTTGTTTAAACTCAATATTAATTATCATTTACATCACATTATACTGTTATGTGATACATAGTGATGTTTATATGACAACTAATAGTTTGTTTAACTATTTTATTAACAAGGGACCCAATTAGCATATACTAATAATTTGAAATGAAATTGGAAGTCAAAATTTATGGATTAATTTAGAATAAGATTTATAATTTAGGATGAAATTAAAATGTTTAAAAGTTAATAGACCAATCTAGAATAAGAGTTATAATTTATGAATAAAATTAAAATATTTTAAAATTTGCAAATTTAAAATAGGTTTATATTACAAACAAGTACTTAAAGTATACCTTCTTTTTCATTTAAGTACCTAAAGTATTTTTTTGTCAACATAAGTATCTAAAATTATCTTCTTTTTTTTTCAAAATAAGTACCTAAAGTGTTTTATGTCAAAATAAGAACCTAAACTATTCAAAAAATTTCATTTAAGTTCTAAAAAAGTTGACATGTGACATTCATTAAAGAATACTTTAGGTACTTAGATGAAAAAATTGAATACTTTAGGTACCTATTTTGACCAAAAAGATAACTTTAGATACTTAAAAAAAAGAGACATACTTTAGGTACTTATTTATTGTACAAGCATTTAAAATAAGAATCATAACTTAAAGAAGTATGATACAATAAACTTGATAGGAATATATATATATATATATATATATATATGTGTGTGTGTGTTTTTTAATTTGTTTTTAAGTCAATATTGCATAATTTAAATATTATTAATAGGAACATTCGTAGTTCATTTTATTTTTTATCTATCTTATTTTAATCATTGGTTTAAAAAATGTTATATTTTGATGACTTATGTTATCATTTCATTACATTTTGATCACTAAATGAACTCTCATTAGTGTGATGATGTGTCCCGTCAAAAAATAATAAATTTCTAATTAAACCCTTAAACTTTATACATAATATCAACTTGACCCATGAACTCTTTCAATATCTCTTTTAACTTATATTATCATCACCGCTCCGACTACCTTCTCTAGTCGATACTACGTCCAACCAGCTCTCTGTTTGTCTCTTTCTCTCCACCCTCATACTATTTTATCTCATTCCCCTTCTTCTCCCATTTTTTAACAATCCGACCACCACTCTCTGTTCTAAATTGTTATTCTTTCCAAAATCCAGATTTATTCCTTTATGGTTGCACGCGGTGATCTTGAAATAGATATTCTGGTGGAGAAAATTCCCCTAGCCTAAAAAATAATGATGTACAAGTGTTTCGTCACCATTTTTTTAACGAGTTAAAAGAGTACATATGACTTTTGAAAAAAATGATAGGAGTCGTCATCGACCTTTGGATTAGATAGGTTGAATACCTAAAAGCATCTTTTAAAACAATTTTAAGAAAAATCATTTTAAATATAAAAACTACTATGTGTTAACCAAAGATTTGTTTTTAAGGGTTCGGGAGTCGGTTACGCGTGGGGAATGATTAACACCCCCACAGCGTCCAAAATTGGTACACAGTCGCTTATACGTTGTCGTTGTGGTGGAGTTTGTAGATTTGAGTCGAAATTTAAAATGTGATATCGAACATTGATTGTTTCCATTTTTTATCAAAACATACTCGATTATTTTCAAGTTCATTTTCGTTCGAATGTCGTATTGAATCGTGCTATCTTGATAGGTTGCACTTTTCACGCCCATTCTACAAAAGGCGTTCTTGAAAATTCATACGAGTAAGAAGTGAGTTTGGTGATGATTATTATAGAATTTTAAGGGTATTTTACCACTCTAAGTAATAACATTATTACACTACACACATAATAGTTTGAGGGCCAAAATAAAATAGAAAAGAAAATAGGGGCTAAATTCATAAAAACTGAAGAAAAAAATATAATTTAAAGGTCGGATCTACATTGATGAGAAATTATGGGGGTAGTCATGCATTAAAACCATTAATAATATGGGAAACTAAAAATGAAAATTAATAAATAACATAAACTAAAATAACATCCAATATGGACTAAAATAAAATAATAAAAAAATATAGGGACTAATCATACAAGTAAAGTAAATCGCATGTAATAGGGATGACATAAAGCTCATAAATAACATGAAATACTAAAATAAAATAAAGCAGAATATGAAGTTTAAATTAAAGAACAAGCTGAAAAGTATAGGGGCATTTCACTAGTTCATTTAAAAGCTCGTTTTCTTATTCTTTTTTAAAATTTTAAATATTGATGGAAATATAGACTAAATTGAACATATGATAAAATTTAAAGTTTAAACTACAGATCTTAAGAAGTTTAAGCATTAGTGGTGTAATTTACCATTTTTCTTTAACATACACATGAAAAGATAAAAACTAAAAATTGAACATCTAAATTAACGTTAAATGTAAATTAAATGAACATATTTATGAACATGCATGTTCATGTTCGTGAATATACATATAACACCTATAGCATATATATATCTCGATATACGAGCCACAAATATCACATCAACTTGATAAATAGTTACTGTAACCCCTTCAGACCGATGCGGGTGGCTCGATCTGATCCGATGTGTCATATTAAGGCCACAGAAGCGACCCACAGTAGAAATTTCGAAAAAAATAAAATTTTTGTTAAACAATTAAAAATCATAAATCAATTTATAAATACAAAAGTAAAATTTACCAATATTCAGAAATAAAACAGATTACAGACTCATATATAAAAACAAAATACAACCTACATACCCACTAATCACATGCACCGTACTCCACAAGCAACGTCGGTGGAACTCCCTACTGACGTCGGTAGTTGCGCTGGTTCAATCCTTTATACCTAAAAGAGTGAGTAAAAAAGTTAGCTTTGGAAAGCTCAGTAATACAGAACTACCAAATGATGCTGAAGAATATGCAGATAATAGGTAGGCAAAAAATATTTATTATTGGTTCAGACATCTACAGATTTTTATGCTGAGCGGAGGTCCTACTGATATCTCGGGTAGTAAAGGACAGGAAGCTTCCAGTTCAGAGTAAACGTTCAGAGGACAATGTTCAGGAGATCAGAAAAGGGTGTCTAGTGTGTTCCCATAAAACTGGTGATAATGTACAAATCTTTTTAAAACAATAGAAGTTTAAACGTATTTTTTTAAAACCATAGTAAAACCCTCCAACCGAACGTCAATATGCAGTTCCCCAGAACTGCATCCATAAGCACTTACCCTAGGCCTAGAGGGCGTATATGCCAACCTAAGGGAGCACCTTGGGTCCAAAAGGTCTTACCCTAGCCGAAACGTAGGTGCCTACCTGACGGTAATACCCTCAGGTCCATAAGGTCTTACCCAAATGCACATAGCAGGGGTGTCATCCCTAAGGGAGTGCCTTAGGGTTCATAAGGTCTTACCACTAGGCCCCATAGGCCTAGGAGCCCACCCAAGAGTCGCCTTAGGTCTATAAGGAATTATCAGTCGGTGTTGAACCTATACAAGGAATTACCAGCAGCGACTGAACCTGCCAGAGATAGAAATTACTAGTTGATGTTGAACCTATACAAGGAATTACCAACATAGACTGAACCTGCCATAGTCTTCATACTAGATCCCAGAGTACCCCAAATAAAAACATTTTTAGTCAGTAAAAGAGATATCAGAAATCTGAGCAGAGACCATAACAGAAATCAGAGAAAACATCCATGTGATCAGGGAACACACTAGAGGTTCCAGTTATTATTCAGAGGTACTAGATAATCTTATCAGGCAATGAACACAGATCTTTAGTATATCGATAGATTGTCGGAATTTAGGATCATTATCGAAAGAATTTATTAGCTGACAGGATCATCAGTTATTCAGAATGTGATTTATCAGAATCATATAGTATTCGGACATTTTTCGGAGACAT